TTTTCAATTTTTACCATCTGGTACTCAGTAAAAGACACAGACTCATAACTGGAAGGCTGTGGGTTCAAATCTCAAGACAGACCCTGTAGTAGTAACTCAAGACAACTGGAGCAGCCTAGTAAAATGCATAGCTATACAAATGTGATTTCAAAAAACTGTTTTGACTAAACGCACCAACCAGGCAACCAAATGCAAATGCAGAAACAGATGCTACAGCAGTTTAAATGCAAGAAAGGCTGCAGGCATTCCTCTGAACTGCAGCAAACACACATTCATCTCACTAGCATACATTTGCACGATGTAAACCGGTAATCTGGCTTTAGAGTGGGAATACGGATTAGCACCAGCTAAAAGGAGCTTTACATGTTTCGTAAAAGAGCAACTTATTCTGGAAAACTCAATAGCAAGTCATCGAAAGTAATCAAGTGTAAATATGTGGAATCACAAAATGATCATGATCACCAGAAGGGTCTGCGTTTTTATTAAGGAGAGCCTGGACACATGCGTTTCTTATCTTAGTGTTCCTACGGCGATTTAAAATTGAAGAAAAACATGCTGCAGGTAAGTTTAGTCTATAGCAGGGTATAAATAGGGGCGGGGCCACAGGGACTGAAAACTGGTTGGCCCCCAGAGTGTCACCACCCCTGTCACTCAACGATTCAAAACATATCATTGGCTGATAATAAGGTTGGCCCCTTTGTATGAATTATGGCCCCTCTTATGCCCTCCACCTCAAAAAAATCCTGAACTGCCCCCGTACTGGAGCCAGACAAAAACCGTAAATTAAGTGCTATTTCCTGCCAGTCTTGGGAGGGGGGGCATCCGTCCACTAACCGCTAAGTCATAGATGCACACACACCTCTATATCGCAGCTCCCGCCATGAACCAGTGAGCCAGTGCACCAGGAAAGTGAGCGCGTTCACACGATGGGGGCTGGCACGCTGTCTGTTTAGCTCCTGTGGTTTCCTGGCACGAGTGAGAAGCCAGGGGGGGGCAGCAAACGCTCCACACATCAGCTTCTCAGCTTCTGAGAGAGGCTCAGTGAGGAAGTCCAAGCTGCTCTCCGTATTTCAGATTAAGGATGAAACGAAAGCGAAACCTACTAAACGGCAGCGCTGGAGGAAAAACAAAAGGACACTCAAGAAATTAGGGTGCAACGCTTCACCAAATGACATCACAGGGATTTCAGACTAGACAAATTTTATTAAAAGTGATGTCAGCCAGATAAGCACATCTGCACTGCTGCCATTTGTTATTATACCAAAAGCAAAAATCTGGCAATAAAAGGGAAGAAAATATATAGAGACAGACAGAAAAGAAAGGACAAAGAAAGACTGAAATGAAAGAATGTATACTCACAGAAAATACATAAAATCGCAAAAGAAATATTCACCTAGAACAGACCAAAGTCTATGAATAGGCAACACTGGAATGTGAGTGTATGTGAACGGCCTTTATTAAACATCTTTGATAATTCAGAACATTTCAGTTCTGCATGATTCAACCATTAAACACAGTCGGGCAACAGCCGAACAACGGTAAAACTTTTTAATTAAAAGAGCTCAGCTGGAACGAAAACCAGCACGTTTCTGAAACCCTGGAGGACTGAAGTCAGAGGCCACCTCCCCTGAAACAACACTCACTCCTTGGCAAGGAGACGCTGAAGGTCACAGACACATGGAGCCAGAACAAAGCGTCAGCGTGAAGCAGCTACACCACCACAGTCTGAAAGGACTGAGGACCCATAATTCAGCAGGGGGTGACCACAGCGTGCAAGGCCAACAAAACCACGCAGTGCAGAGATGGTTAGATTGCAAGATGCATGATATACTAGTTAAAGTATCGGTACTGGCTGATAATTGTTAAAATTCAAGATATCAGTCCAATGTGTCGATCTTGGGCGATGTTTAATCTTTATCAATAGCTACTAAAATAATGGGGATGATTGCACTGCATGATCAGCCATTAACCACTTACATGACATAGGAAAGTACCAACCCTCCATGTGTTTATAATTCATTATTCAGTCTGGCCTGCAGATCAATCTTTCACGTTCCATAGAGAATAATGCAGGATCTATTTGTACTCTCTAAATTCACAATAAAACATGGGCCAGGCTCTTTAAAAGCCCCTGCACACCTGGAGCGCTAACACTCGTAAACACTAGGTACCACCGTCCAACCCAGATGCAGATGGGAATAAAATCTATGGATGACAAATTAATTCTGTCAAACAAGAAACCTTCGGTGCAAGTTAAAACACACAGCCTACAGACCTACAGAAAACTGCTTTGACCCCACCCCAGTCATTCTGGCAGCTATTACAGTCCAGTGTCCCAAAAATGCAAATAAACTATTTTTTCATATTTTAATAAGCCATCAATTCATCCATCCATCCAAGGCATCCATCCATCCATCCATGTATCCTGGTAAGGGTCACATGGGGCCTGAAGTCTATCCCAGGCAGCGCAAGGATGAGATGACAATCTGAAATTATATGGTAGTCCCTCCTTTTATGCTACAAGTGACTCAGTCAGTACTCATGCGTCCGTAGTGTCAGTAAAGGCACTTATTCTCTTCTGGATGCAGTGAAGAATGGACACACTTGAATCTCCCTGACAAAACGTCTACTTTAATCATGGAGAGGCAGCACTAACAGGTAGTGCGTCCGATGCCCTAAGCTGCAGGAGGCATTAATGCAGCGATAAACTGAGCTCCTGTAGTAGGTTGGCCGAGACGTTACTTCAACGTCACGTGGCGCACGGTTGTCAATGGTGGATCATGCAGGGAATGAGTGATGACCGCCTCGGAACGGTGGCTCAAATGTCGGAGTCTGCCAGGACGAAGCTGGCTTGGGTTCCACCCCAAACGCGGCTTTGACCGCTAGGCCGCTAATCCGCGGTGGCTAATTTAGCAGTAAACAGAGCCTGGCGCCTCTTCAAGCCGGCACCACGATCTCTGCTGGATGGCGTGTAGGACTGGATTTCTGGAGAGGAAAGCATGTAAAGGACAAATGGATCTAAAGCATTCCATGTTCAACAAGACCCTGCCCCCCAACATTAAAGGAAGATAAATCTAACACTGGTGAGAGGAGCAGAGACTCTACTCATTAACTATTTATTTTGTTTCTGAAACATGTGAGGAGTAATTTTTTGAATGGAAGCCCCTGAAACCACAAACCTATCCCTTTGTACAATGTGACACCTTGAATCCCTAAAACCAAACCACAGGGTATTATAGCATTAAATGGGGTGACCAAACTGGAGAAGCTTTTCATATAACTGTTGCTGTCTCTGTTTCCTCAGAAAGTTACTGCTGATGCAGCAGACTTTGATGATCCACAGCAATCTTCCAAAGACTCAACAGTGTCAACAGTGCTAGATGACAGTTTCCCAAGGATTCCCCCTGAATCTTCTCAAGCCAATCATGCATTTTTGTTCTAGGTGAACAACCAAATGCTCCTGGTGCCAATCCAGCTCAGGGTGCAGGTGAGTTTGTTTGACTCATACAAGAATGTTGACGACAACAGGGATTTCCCAGAGTGCTCTGGGGCTTGGTGGAGTGCCACGCCTGAAACATACACCAATATGGCAAGGTTTTCAGTTTGAAGCACGCAGCCTTGCTATTAGAGTAGCAAGGAAAATATAATGCAACAATTGTATACCTTTGTTTAATTGTCAATGGTAGTTTCAAATTGTAACATTAACCCGGCCTTGAGAAAGCAACAATAAGTTGAAACATAACCAAGGAAACGTTTCTCAGGATGGATAGTTATCACGCCAATGTCATTGGTAAGACAGACAGTGGACCGCAGAATTCGGTATGCTACAAACTGACGTGGTTGAAGCATTTGATAATTTAAAAACGGGATCATGTACCAATGACCAAATGACTAATTCAACTGACAATGAAACCATCAGACTCCTCTATGCTATTTCGTATTTCTTAGAGACTGATGCTTGTCGTCCATGTGCATTGTAGCCTTTGGCAACCATTGGACCCCAGCATCTAAAGAAAGATTGACAACCCCAAAATGAAAATCTAATCATTCCAATTAAGAGTCTATTTAGCTTGACAAACAGATCATTGTTTAAGAGACAAGGACTCCTTTAATGACGCATATAATCGATAAGCTACGCCTAGCTAAACTGTTGCACAAAGAATACAGCAAGCTGTTTCTGTTGCACAGGAACCTACGTGGTAATTCATCCACCCTCATTAGCTAACGAGCTAAATCAGTTCAAGGAGGAAGAACAGAGTCATACTGGCCACATAACTGCATTAATAATGCATGTGAGCGTGTGCATGTATCTATGGCAACCCTTGTTTTAAACACAAGGGTGTCCATACTGTCCAAGGAGGCTTTTCAGAATCAAAAGGCTTTTGTACAAGTCTTGTTTATCAAAGATTTCACAGAAAATTGATACAGCCAAATCTCAGTCAGAAAGTAAAACATTTCACCTACCATTTACATTATATTTATCTATTTTATCCAAAGCGACATACAATTGAGAAAACAGATTCAGTCTGCGGAGCCATTGTTGGGTAAGAGCCTTGCTCAAGGGTCCAACTGTGAATTAACTCTACTGATCCGGGGGTCTGAACCAGTAACTTTGCGATTACAAGCCAAGAGTCTTAATCCGCTGAGCCACACACCTCCCCACCCCGACTGGTCTAGTGATGATGAATAAGTCCCTCTGAGGACCACGTGTTCAGGAGGCAACTTGTGGAACAACACAAGGAGGAGAAATAATCTCAACCTTTGCTGACTTGGCAAGTTAAACATTAAGTTAAATAGCCACTGACCTTCAGGCCTAAGTCTAAAATTGTGGTTCAAACCCCCCCAAAAAAAAAACATGGAATTGAAGATTATAGATATTAACTGTAAATAATTCCCCCCTGGGATCAATAAAGTCAATCTTAATCTTAAATGTGACAGAGCGTCAATGACCAAAGAAACCAAAGTGCAGCCGAGACTACGAACATGGACAGAGGACTTACTTTCCTCTCCAGGAGTGTTTGGTGGTATAAAAACAGGCCAGGTCCTTGTTGTCTTTGAGGATATTCATCTTCTGAGAAGACCTAGAGGAAAAGAAATGCCTCATTAGCAAACCGGTAAGACGGCAGGTAGAGCACCACCCCGATGGGCCAGGTGTGGTCGTAGCGAGTGCCAGGCTGGCAGTGACATCATGGTTAGACATGGCGTGCCGCTGGGTGTGTGACCTGTGACAACCCCCCGCCCCCGAGGCCTGTGGTCCCCAGAACGCTGCTGACACACACTTCACATCAGGTGACCACATTCAACGGCTTCCCAGAGAATCCCCAATCTCCCCCCACCAGAAAGTGGCACTGTACCTCTAACGAGATCTAACAATCGCAATACCTGCAGACAGACACAGGAAACGACACACGGAGATCTCTGCCGTGACACCGAAAGGGTGACAACACACACAAATTACCAGCCTTCAATGATGCTGCTCATATTATAATGTGACATTTCAGCACTTTTAATGTTCTTGTGCATAAGTAGCCTGAATCTAGCAATAAGCCTGACCAAAGAAAGCATTACACTCCACTAAAAATATTCCAAGAGGGATTAAACCAACACTGATGGTACTATTGCAGTAACTCATTTAACAAACCATAGCCACTCAAGATATTGCAGGGTAAATGCATTCATATTTAGTCATTTATCCAGATGTTCCTATCCAATATAACAGCTGTTATATGGGCATCACTCATCCAACAGCAAGATCACCCTTTACACTAGACCACCTTTAGAACTGCCAAGCTACCTACAGCACTACAGACGTCCTTGAAAAGACACCCCAACGACCACAAAACAATTTAAATTCCTTTATTTGGCTCTGGCTTTTATCTAAAGTGACATACAATTAAAAGTATGGTCAGAGTGTCCCTGGACCAGTTGGGGGTTAAGGGTCTTGATCAAGAACCCAACAGTGAAACCGTTCTGCCAGTGACCTTCCATCACGGACACAGAATCCTACGCTGTTGAGCCACATACTGCATTCAGATGGAGGATCTCTCTGAATTACACAAGTTCAGATGGCCGTTTTGACTCAGAGATTTGGTTCTCTAAAAGCAGTGATTATTTTTAGAGGAGAACGCAGTGTCAACACGTGGGCAAGCTGGACCACTAGACCTCAAACCAAAGTTTGCAGTGGGAACCTGCTCGTTCTTTCACACCCAGTGAGCGACCGGGCAAAGGCCAGGAACCGGCTTCACAGGTATGCCAAGTGACGTCGCTTCACACCAAGGCTCGAGCTAAATCAATCACTTATATTAAATTGGACACGCTTTGGCTCCTCAATGGGGTAAAGTTTCACAATAAAACAATAGGAAACAAAGTGAAAGTGAGGGATAGATGGAGGGGGAGAGAAATAGAAGACGAGAGAGAGACAAAATGTGAAGTACAGGCATCCGCTTGTGCACCAGCATAAATGGTAACCTCACTGACAAGATCTTGGAAATAATGGTCTTCTCTTCCTTCCAGGCAAAGAGCTAAGTCAGCACATAGCTGTACAGCACGACTGTTCCACTGGGCCTTGCCACATGTCCGCCAGAGGACAGCACGGCATGGGCAACTCAGACAGAGGTTTAATATCAGGACCATCTGGCACCATTCAGGAGGGCGGCAGGGAGCTTTATGCTGGCAGCAGAGTCTGGAAACACAGCTTTAACGAAAGGTTATGCCTAAATGTAATCAAATAGAGAAGCAACTCACGTGTGCCCCAGACGAAGGAAAGATTCTGCACTGAAGGACTGAAGCTTAAGCCAGACTGTATTTGAGAGGGGTTCTAGTGTCAGGGGATATGTGGGAAATTGTTACCCGTCAAAAGAAAACTACATGACCTTTGCTAAAAACATTCAAGAGGTTAAACGGTGTACACCCACCCCTCATGGGAGGTACATTAAACTGACGCAGAAGGGTGAAACTCAGCTGGAATTTACAGTAAAATACACGCCACCCAATCAGCATGTCTTCCAATCAGCACATGGCTACAGGAGTAAGAGACATGCACACCTTAAAAACAACACGCAATAAACCTAGAAAGCTTCACTAGGAAATAAAAACCTGCAATTATTGAGAAGGCTGACAGACCTCTCCTCTTCAGACTCGGATCAATAGACTTAAAAGCCTTCCAGAGGAGGAACGCTTCAGCCACTTTAATGCACCATGATTGTAGGAGGGCTTTGAAGCTACTGCCGTAAAGAGGGAGCCGCGGCAAGAATAGTCATGTGACTGAGACGCCTCATTCCAAAAGGCCTTCAGACTTCCTGCATTGATTAATGCATACTGGTCGCCTGTTAAGCATTTACTAGGGAGAGGACTGTAGTAACCAAAAATACCCTACTCACAAATGCCCTATATTTCCGCACAACTTGTCGTGAAAGGATATTTCATGAATAAAACAATAACGTGTGATCGAGTAAATATTGACTGGATTTTTTCCCCCGATAATTTCTATTTATAGCGTAACAGCAGTTATAAAATGTCATCCCACACAATACAGGGCTTAAACAACAATCTACAAACTGGCATTCAATGTCACGTGCATCTGACACTTCATTAAAATGTTGATATTTGTACACTTAATGCCATCGATCATATTCACGATGACATTAGATCGAAATACTAAACATTACCACATTTTTTTCATTTCATAGCCTGACTTCCAAATCTTTCCGGTCCCCAAACCCTACGTTCCGTTCTCCCCCCCCCCCAATTTTTCTTAGGGCTAATCGGCTCGTTTTAAAGCTGATTGTAATGACTGACAAAACCAAAATTAACGTAGCCAAGTTAAACAACTTTGCAACATGTTAAACACAAAAAACACGTCTACATACAGTAGCTGCAAGCTAAATGGATCCAACCCTTTCATTTAAACCGAGGTCCAAGTTAACGGGCCGGGGTTTTATTTGGAAATGTATCAGACCTCTCCCGGTTTGTCTGATCCAGAAGCACACAAAATGCAACAATAAGCGACAATAAGTCGCATCGTCTTTAAGTTTCTTTATCACTTCCGAAACTGGGAACAAACGAGGCGATGGGGTGAAACTGATCCTGCCCCCTCAGGAGAAAAACTAACCCAACTGCGCATGAAGCAAACCTGCGGGCTGCTTGGATGGGATCCACTCATGGGAGGGCAGCCACCTTCCACCCTCCCAAACTTTCCAGAGGAAAGCCAATAAAACGGCGGCAGAAAGGAAAGCCACCAGCATCGGACCAAAGCCAGGAGGCTGAATGGACTCCAGCCATTGAGATAGATACGGGCGCCAATGAGTCCAACAGCAGGATCCAAATATTAATAACGCACAGCAAGAATACGGTTTTAAAACAGGCGTCATCGTGCAAAGATTTCCTCAGGGGGTTATCGAAGGCTCTGTGGAAATAGGTGCCATCGCAGACATGAGCATAACGTGGAATTAAATAAGTTAAGCCAAAGTGTATGGAGCCGAGCAGGCCCCGTACGGATCGGGCTGGCGGAGAGACGCCCGGTCGGCACACCTCAACTGTCATAATGTGCATTTCAGTTGCAGCGGAGAAGCGGAGAGCCAGACTGCTGCCTGGCTACGCGGTCTGCCGGACAGCAGGCAGCCGATGAAGCCCAGACAGGAGAAGGAGAGGAAGGTACAGGCAGACTAAGCCGGGAACGGGGAGGGGGGTGCGATGCACAGGATGAACGCCACGGCATTTTTTACCTAGACAGCCGCTACCAGTCGCGATTCGTTTCCGTCCCTGCGGCCCCCCCTCCCTCCGATGTGAGCGGCCGTTGTTTTTAATTTCCCCGTCCGGCGCCGTGGCTCAGTCGATCGTGCGCTGCCTTCACGAGCAGGACGCCGCCATCTTCCTTCTGCTGCAGGCGTACGCAGCGCGCATGCGCGCCAGCCCGGGCGGGGCCTGTCATGAGTTAGTCAGCTGATTGGAGACGCGATGGGCGGGCCGTTCAGCCCCTGGCTCGCGCCTACAGTCTGAACGTCGGACCCGTCGCTCCCACCCGCCGCAGCAGTACGGTCCAAACGTGCACATGCTGCAGGTCTGTCGGGTGCAGCCAACATGACAGCTTTTGAATGGCAGCTATGTCAAAAACCTGAAAATAGTAGCCTAACGATATTATGGGGAAGTGGGACTTGCAGAGCCGCAGGCATTAAAACCGGCTAGGTTTCCTTGTAATGTGCCACTTTTGCCACTTCTGCAGTATCAAAACATGAATCTTAACCCCAGAAACTGCAGTTAAACGTGCTATTCATTAGCATTAGGAATGCCCATATGAAAATGTATGCTGTCCTAACGGCTCATTCTGATACCTTCTTAATTTGGGTGAATTAGGATGGGGGTGTACAGCTGATTTTTGTGTTCTTAAAATCTACCCAGTGCTGGTGAAGCAGTGCTTGTCAGGGTGGATCTTGTATAAAATGAAGCTATTGCGACATTGAGCATGGTTGTCTGAGCAGGTTGTGAGCCCATTGTCCAGCCTTCAACAGGAATTATGGTTGTAGAAACTGAGTGGTGCACACACAAAGAGCTTAGCCAGTGCTGTCAGAACTGTAACAAAAGCTAAGTTAGCGAGAGGAAGACCTCACTGTTGGAGGTGGTCAGTCACATTGTGAAATATATGATGCAGGCCACAGCATGTGCGGCTGGTCATCAACAACCCTGATAATGATGATGATTTTCCTCTTGATCCTCCAATTTTAAAATGACAGCTATATTTAAGACCCCCAACATTTCCTCCATTTTACAGGTCCACTGTCAATATTTAATCACTCTTATAGTCAGGAGAAATGTACATGTATGGATAGAAATGATAGATCCATCCTTTGCTAAAGCTAATAAGATTCAGAAGGATTATACCCTAGGTATTATATGAGCATGTGCTTTGCTAAGGACTTCTTTTACTTCAGTATTATCTAAAATGCGTGTCACCCATGGGTGCCCCAAGAGATCAGTGGTTATCATTGTCACCTCACCCCTTCAGGGTTATGCATTATGTTCCCAGCCCCAGTTCTATCTATGTTTGTGTGTTAGTCCTGTGGGTACCTTTCTGTCTGACTGTCTTGTCTATTTTGCTCATTGCTGGACTCCCAGTAAAAAAAGGTACAGGTCCCACCCGCTAAACGATTACACTTGTATGGGCCTGTTTAGCTTGGAACCAAAGAAGAATTTTATCAATATTCAAATTACCCATGAGCTCTTTGGCCTGAAGTGCTACAAGTTGCACTGCATTAGCCTCTTATTGTTACATATTTAGGATCACAGAGAATTAATTTTGTTTAGATGCATGGTGGATATTTATTTATTAAACAAATTGCTCAAGAGGTATGACCCACTGTTGGAGAAAGCCATCCATCCATTTTCCAAACCGCATATCCTACTGGGTCATGGGAGGTCCAGAGCCTATCCCAGAAGCTATGGGCACGAGGATACTTTAAATAAATATAATACTATTGTTTAAAATTCAGGATGATTTTCTTCTTCTTCTTCTTCTTCTTCTTCTTCTTCTTCTTCTTCTTCTTCTTCTTATTATTATTATTATTATTATTATTATTTAATTGTTGTTGTTATTAGTATTATTAAGTGCAAGAAGATATCGTATCAGGAATGAATTGATTGATTGACACCTAGTCCCTCTATTGGATATATGGTTATGAAATACATTGGTTGATTAATGCTGATTAATTTGCTAAACAATTAAAAATCCCTGAAATGTAGACCTGCCATGCTATTGTCTAGCCAATGTTTTTTAAACAGCATGAACAATGGGAGCTTATTGTATATTACTGTATTTATCAAGGCTAGCAATGAAAAGACTGGCCAACACATTAGACATATAGGTATGGTAAATTTTGATCTGTTTGATTTTGTTATGTGGATGTCTTTCAAACACTGATCGTAGTCGCAGAAGAACATGTCTGTTGGCTTTGAAAAAGCAATGAGGACACTTGAAATTGCGTTAATGATTATCGTCTAAGGCAAAGTCTGAGACAGTAAGTATTGTCCATAAAAGTATTTAGACTGACCTCCTGAAAACCTGCAATCGCAGAATAGGGAGGAAAGGTTTATAGCTGCAATTCTCCACGCTAATTGCGGTCTAATTTAACTTTATGGGGTGTATTTTCACTGATTGGCACAAGGCTGCCATCTACTGGTTATTGTGTCATTCTTTGCAGAAGCTTTTTTTTTGTTTTTTTTTGTTGCGAAAACGTATGTTTTGTGGGAGTGGGTAGTGTTGACGGTCATGTAACAGCGTAAAACAGCGTCCAGTAATATTTTCTGTCACTGCTTTTTTTTTTGTCACTACGGTACATTGCGAAAACGTATGTTTTGTGGGAGTGGGTAGTGTTGACGGTCATGTAACAGCGTAAAACAGCGTCCAGTAATATTTTCTGTCACTGCTAAAAAGTTAAGTAAAATGATACTTTTATCAGGCATGTAAGTTTCTGTATCACACTTTAACGCCATACTCACATTAGACCTGTAGAACAGTAGACTAATTGGCAGTGATCATCCGATTGATTTACTTTGCCGTAGGCCTATGTGATTTTACCGGGGGTGTAACTGCACCCTCTACTGGGCAGATGAAAATTCTACATGAACTTAAGTTCATTTAAATTAAATTATATTATAAAGTTATATTTGAAAATGTTGCTTGTTTTAGTCATATCAATATGTAATAATAATATTTTGAAGTGTATTTAATATACACTCAGTGACAAAGAAAAATTAATCACCCAGAAGAAATGGTCCGATTTGGATGTACTAATTTGGTACACGTGCAGACCAGCGATGGGTATGTAACTGATTCGATTTGGAAGGAGCTGGCACATCTAGTCACCAGACACAGAGGATGCCTTATATACGCATTAGACAGCATTACTAGCACTTGTCAGAGTTTGATAGGGGTTGCATTGTGGGTTTGCATGAGGCTGGGTGGCCGTATCATGCAACTGCCTGGCCTGTGGGGCATGCAGATGTCACAGCTGCCCGATATTGGAACCAATGGGCACGTGAGGGCACCCACACATGTCGTGAAGGTAACGGTTGCCCAAGACAGACCACACCAAGGGAGGACTGTCATATACTGCACCAAGCATTACAGAACCCCATGACATCTGCACCTGCCATATGGACACAGGTACTGGACTCTCTACAACACCCCATGTCATCCTGCACTGTGTCTCAATGACTGGCATCAGCTGGACTACGGGTTCACCGTCTCATGCGCAGGCTGCCATTAACACCAGCCCAGAGACGGCTATGTTTGCATATACTGAGGCATGAACTGATGACGAGTGCCGTCGTACCATGTTCAGCGATGAATCTTGGTTCTGCATTACCACTGATGACCATTGTGTGTGTGTATGGTGGTGCCGAGGAGAGAGGACCAATCCTGCCAATGTTGTGGAGAGACACACTGGAGTTACTCCTGGCATCATGGTGTGGAGAGCCATAGGGTAGGACATCATGATGTGGGGAGCCATAGGGTATGACTTCAGGTCATCTCTAGTAGCGATTCGGAGGACCCTGATGGCACAGCGCTACGTCAGAGACATCCTGCGTCTGCATGTCTTACCCCTCCTGAGACAGCACCCTGGAACAGTCTTTCAACAAGACAATAACGCCCGTCCACACAGCGCGTGTGTCTATGGACTGCTTGCATGTTGAGGTTCTCCCGTGGCCAGCCAGGTCCCCCGATCTTTTCTCAATCGAAAATGTGTGGGATCAGTGCCAGTCTGCAGGATCTTGAGGGTCAGTTACAACACCTTTGGGCTGACTTGCTGCAGGAGAGGATACAATGGCTGTACGACTCCCTTCTGCACCGTATCGCTGCATGTATCCAGACCCGGGGGGGTGCCACACCCTACTGACATGGGACCAGAAGTGTGCCCATACTGCCAACTCTGTTGTCTGTATGATCTGATATTATAATCATTGTGATACAGTCACATGACCTTTCACCCTGTGCTGATTCATTTAATTTCCACCAGTCTGTCTGGGTGCTTAACGTCTTTTGTCACTGAGTATTTTTTACAAATGTACTTATCGGAATGAATGACAATGGTCAGGCTGGTTCTCCTTGCACCCCTTGAGGGAAAAGCCTTAAGTCACCTATGAATCATGCAGAAATTTAGGATAATGGGGGGAAAAGTAGGTGATTCTCCATCAGCAAGCATGACTTCCTGAAGCATCACTGGAACCGGTGAGATTTAAACTTCAAAAAAACGATAGTTACTGTATATAACCTGATGCAGGGCTGTCTAACCACAAAATAATTATATATAATACATTGGAAATGGGAAGCATATTGTATAATGTAGCCTATTAGTGATCTAACAGAGAGGCTCCTCCAGCAACGCTTGAGTGCTGAACAGTGAGCTTAGAAAAGAATTAGATAAACAAAGCCCATCCACCCATCCATCCACCCACCCATCCATGTATTTTCTAAACTGCTTATCTTGTACAGGGCACAGTGAAAACAAAGCCATGGCTATGTAATAACATTTAGCGATTTGTAGAAATATTTTCCTACTTCCAAAATCCCAAAATCAATCACTGCACATTTTGAAAACAAATTTTTATTCAAAACCTAAATGCTCAAACTGAGTATTTCTAAGGTTAAGATATGGAACATTAAAACATGGTCGTAGCCTGCATCCATATCTCAGCCAATTACATAGGAGTTATAATATGTATTGACTGCAGGATACAAGCCAGTTAAAGGGGCACTTTCTGTCACAGTGAAATTCTGCTGCCTTCTGTCCATGAATTGCTCAATTCCTTTACAGGCATCCACTTTTAATGAAGCTCGTGAACATACGCGACAAATGCAATGACTGAAATGCGAACATAAAACCGACACATTATGGAGCATCGCTATAGAGCA